CACCTTATTCACTGACCATTTCATGGAATAACTGCAGTTTTGCAAACATTTTACTCATTCTCACCATCATATACTCAGAGTTCTCATGAAACAGTGAAATACCACCAAGATATAGTTCAAACACATTTAAATTACTGTCATCAATTGGAACCTGTCACAACAAACATTTCACTTATTAACGAGTGTTTACTGCATTAAAATCCTTTTTGGATTATATGTAATCGTGAGAAAACCACCGATGGTACTTCAGAAATACTTTAATCAAGGTCATTTTGAACGAAACAAATGGAATACAAAAAGATCTCGTCTGCAGGTCATGATAAGCTGAGTGCTCCAAGTGGTGAGCACAAAATTTTCAAAAGTCTACCAAAAACACTAAACAGGAGTCACTGAGATCAACACTTGAATGGAACGATGAATTAGAGCATCGAATTTGTCAAATATTTCGTTGATGATGCTTGTTACTTCTTAAACAAGCCCAAAAACTTATTCGTCGGTATGTCATCGTAGTAGAGTTGCTTCGGTGATGCGAACATCAGTCGTTTTTCAGATTTTGGAAAGAAGAAACTCGACTGCAAATAATCAGACAATGCGACCATATCCGTTGGCGGAAATCTGAAATTACCATATGATTACCGAAATTACCATATGATCTGGTATTTTACTGCAGAACTACCAGTGGNATGCATTCGACATTTGCCGCACGCAGTTTCCAGCTAGATTCCTCAACAACAAATTATCGGTTAATCGCAGAATGCTCAACAATTAAAACTGAACAAACCCGAGTGATGAGACGATGAACCAAACCGATAAAACAATCAAATACATTGACTTGATTCTAAGCATCATTCTTTAATCGAGAGCGAGCGCTTCCTCTGAAACGATATTCATGCATAGCCACCTCAAGCAGCGGATAGTGTTCGATACAAACGTTCATTTCGGCGCATTAGCGTGGCGTAGAAAATTCTGACTTTGGTGGAGACATAAAAACAATTTATCATTTATAACGTTATGCATTCGAGACAGTAACATCCAGCAGTGTCAATTGAGCATTCTTGCAATCATATTTAAATGCACGTTTGATAAACATAAGATTGAAGCCCATCGTATATCAAGAAACCCATCATATATCATGATGGGTTTCCGTGATGAATTCTGAATTTTCTCGGAATCGGAATCTCTATTCACTTCTAAAATGCTCAAAAAAAATTCATATTGTCTGAAAAGCGCCATATTCAGTGAATTAAACGATCTCCATAGATATATTAAATGATTTATTCATCTTTCATGATACACTTTTTCCTCAAACGATTGATGAATTGAATGATTCATTTCAATGTCCTTCTGGCGTAAAGACAAACACATCGTATATCACGAAAATATTCTTTTCAATCTGATATCACTAAATTATTTTTCTCAAATTCAAGTGAAACTCTGTGTCAGTCGTTAAGAATGATCATACGTTTGTGCGATGCGCAAGTTTTACAGTGTTGAACTTAACTCATCGTGGATAATCTCCAGTCCACAAGAATGGAAAAATAAACTTTTTCAATCATCTCTACATGTTCATGCAGAATAATTGCGTGAGTGATTTGAAATGCTCTGCTGAAATCAAGGAATACTGACGAAGAATTGAAAATTCAACGAAAAACTTTTTGTTTCACTAGCGTGATCCATCATTTGATACAAATTCAGAAACTCTCAGTGATAGATTCATTTATAAGCTATACATTTGTTCTGGTTCATTTATATAAATTATAAATGAAGTCTCTTGGTTGCTTGATGGTTCGTAGCAGAAGTCTCTTACTTGATGGAGCAGAAGTCTCTAGAGAATTCTGCTCCATCAAGTAAGAGACTTCTGCTCTAGCAGTTGTTTGCTTGATTGAGAGAAAAAACAATCCGAACGAACGCTTGACACGTTCAAACAACAGATCAATCCCGAAAAGTGAGATTGGATTGGAGTGATCCGAATAC